GATGTGATATATTCACGAGTATATCCACAGCAGATACAATTAATATCTTGGAACTTTACTGCCAAAACTAGAGGGAAAAACTCAAATATGGATGGACCAGAGTAAAGTGAGTTAATTACACAATAACTTAAATCTGCTTCCCCGAAAATACAAGATTTGTAGATTGGTAGCATGTACGAATGCATAACACATTTCGATGCGAAAGAGAGAGAAGAAGAGAGCATCATGAATTTCAAGGCCTACAATTCATAACCTTAAACCTTGAAAGTGTCTCATCAGCTAACTGAACTACAAGTATATATGAAGAAGAGCTTAAAGGGATTCATAAGAGTAGGAGAATCTAATCGAATAGTGTGCTCATTTGACCAAGATGCTAGCCAAATGCTAGAAATCAAACTATGACAACTCTAAAAGACTGAATTACACTAGTCCCTATCTCTCGGCACACTTCTAGAAGCCCATAGTCAAGGAGAATCAGAATATCTACACGGTTAAGAGGAGAAAACTTCTCAATATATTGAGTTAATCTGATTGTCCTTAACTACGTTGTAAATCAGTCCACGAGGGCTCTCGAAAAGGATAACAAATCCTGGAACAACAGCCAGAACAAAGTTTTATATAATTTTGAGTATGTAAAAGAATCTTATCTATTCTAAAATGTTGTCACCACCAAAATTATGTTATCTTTCTCAAAACTTCACTACTACATGGAAGATAAGTACATTAGCATACTAGAGAACTACATTTGTGTGCATAACCATGTCAGAGGACAAAATAACTCGATCGAAACAAACAGGATTTCTACTCTATATTTGCATCACACGGAAGAACTAACATTAGTACTATACCTGGACTTGTTTCACACAGAAAATAAAAAAGAGCACTAAGGTACCAAGGGTAACACAAGCAACTTTTATCAATGCTTTACAGGGTTTTCACCCAATTCAGCAACATATTTAAAGTGAAAATTTACTGCCAATACTAGCTCAACAAGTGTTAAAATGAATTTGCACTGTATAGCTAACATGACATTGAAGATATATGTGTGTTTATAAATGAAGATGCATATTGAGTCGATGTGAGCAGAAGAAAAAATGGGAAAATACCTGTATCCATCGACGTTGGCACCATACTTGTCAACAAATTGGTAAACACCCTTTCCCTGAATCAAAGTTATTTATTCATATACATGTTAGTAATAATCATAAACAGAAACTGAAGAAGCTCAACATTGAAATCGAAATACATGTATATGTTCATCAAACTATTATTACTTCTACATCTTTTTCTCTTTTCATTTCCCTAACACACTTGCATAATTCCTATATGAGAAGTAGATTTACTCCTATCTTTTCCGTAATTATATTTTTGTTCTGCAAGTAATCTTTAAATTGCTATCTGTCTCGCCTTAAAATATTTACTCACACCGGATATAATTGTCATACTTTCATACAAAATTTAGTGGTGATATTATAGAAATAGAATAATACAGACTGTATGTATAAAAAAATTAAACTGAACTCAAGTGATTTTTATTTATAAAATAGTCAGTTTAAATTGAAAAAAAAAATAATAAACAATCGTTACAAAAATTAAACAGCTACTAACTCACTAAAAAAACCACTAACAAACTAACTCATAATTGAAGACACCACTAATCCATGATGAAGACACAATTAGTCCATGATTAAATCACTACTACTCCATACTAACAATTCTTAAATACATAATAAAATTTTAACACACACACACATATATATATATAAAGTAGTTGAAATCATGATAGTAAGAAAAGAAAAAGAGAGAAACCAACCTTTCCTTTCCTTCCAGAGGCATCGAGGCCATCCCTCAAGCTCATGCCACCGTTAATACCTGTAGCCAAACACTCCCAATTCTAGTAAACTCCTCTTCGTCTTCGACATTATCATCATAAAATTATTCAATCCTCGTTTTATTCCAAAAGAAGAAGAAGAAGAAGGATGTGGAGACATTACCATAAGGTTTATCGGTTTTGATCTTCTTCCCACCACTGGCTTCAACTCTGAGAGAAGAAGTCCGAGCTAGAGAAGGAAGTCCCCTGCCTGCTACCGTTTTCTCAACGGTGAATCCCGAAGGTTTCAAGCTCAATGAAGCCATGACTGATGAGGCTGCTGCCATTTCTCTCCTCCTTCCTTTTGCTGCTCGCTGCTAATCAAATCTCAGACTGTGGTAGATAAAAACGGGGTTACTGATTGTAATGATGCCACGTGGCGGCATCTGTGTGGGGGAGATCTGGATATGATTGTAACAAACTTTATCAGGTTTCCATGACTCTTCTCCTCCTCCACATTTCCGTTTCCGCCACAATCCTCATGCATGCCACGTGGACTCTCCCTCACTGCAAATCTTTGATATTCTCTCAAGTCTACAGACAATTACTCCAATTTTTTCATTAAAAAACAAATATTCCATTTTATAATAATTAAAATAATTTTGTTTATTTATTTTGATTTATATAGCTGGAGAAAATTAACAAATTTCTTAATCTACACAAGTTAGAGGTTTTCAGCATCCTGCTTCATGTATTAAAAAAATAATGTAAGA